CCCCCCCACCCCGTCCTTGCAGATGAGGGGGAGTAGCCCTCCCCGCCCCCACTTCCCTTGCATGGCCACGGCAGGAGAGGCAGGGAGGGCAGCAAGGAGCCTCAGTCGTATTCAGGCAGCCATGCTGGGCGGGATGTCAAAACCGAGGCGCCTGCGGTGCGGAGAAGTGACGCGCTTTCGGCCATCGCCATGTTGGGAGTGTCCAACCCAGAGAGGGGCCTTGCCCTTCAGCCATGTTGGGAATGGCCCTTCACCGCGCAGGCGCGTGCCTAGAGCTACGAAAGTGAAGAGCCGGATTGGATTGCGGCATCCACAAAGACCCGCGGCAAGCCCAGCGCCAGCGCCAGCGCCAGCCCGTGTCCCAGGAGGGGCGAAGGGGCTCCGTCCCTGATCCTCCCAAAAGCGGGGGGTCGGGGGGGGGCGGCCGCAGCGTGCGCCCGTGCGTGAGGTGGGCTTCGTGCAGCCGGGGATCCCGGTGTGGCTCTACGCTCAGCAACGGAGGCGTCGGCGGCGCGCCTGGAGTGCCCTCCTGTGGCCGCTGCCGAGAATTGCGGCCCGAAGGCTTTCCCTGGAAATGCAAACGTCAAACTGGTCCTTTTTATCCCACGTGGTGGACTTTTTATTATTGGCTAGGAACACGGGACAATGCGTAGATTTGAATATGCCGATAGATTGTTATTAGAAATAATGGGGGGGGGAGCTGACCCATCAGAACTACGATGTTTCTATTGATGGATCTTTTTAGATTTTTATTTTTTTAGCTTGTAGAAAATAATAATAATCTTTTTTTTTTTTAAAAAGGAAAGGCTTTCACCAGCCTTTTCTCTCAAGAGACATCCTGTCTTCTGAGCGGTTTGTCTTGGTAGAGAAGAAGGAAATGAGAAAAGAAGAATGAGAGCCGAGGGGGGAGAAGGCAGGCACCCATGGGCATCAGGGCTAGCCCTTCCCACAAAATACTTCCAGCTCTTCTGTCCCTTGCATAGCATACATGAGAATGATCTCAGTTCTCCTGCTGGGCCAGGACAGATGCCTGCCCAGGAAGTGCCCCGCTGCCCTGCTCTGCACCCCCCCCGGCCCTGATCCGGAGGAGCAGCCCTGCAGGCGCACCCCTGTCCCGCATGCTCCGGGGTGCCATCCCCATTGATTGGGCCCTCGGCTGCCCCAGTCGCCTCCGCCGGACTCAGCTCCCCTGCTCGCTCAGGCGGCTTGCACTGGCCGGACGAGGCCTCTGAGTGTGGGGACCGGGCAAGGCTCCCCCAGCCGTGGGGCAGCAATCCACCGTGCGGGGCTGTGGCTGTGGCGACCCGGCTTCTGCTCCCTGCCTGGCTGTGTAGCTCACCAACTGACACTGGGCCAGGCACAGAGTCTCAGCCTGTCCTACCCTGCAGGGTTGTTGTGAGCGTCAAAATTGGGACAAGCATTGTGCAAGCCGCCTCGAGTTCCTCACAAGAGAAAAAGGTATGGTACACATGGAGTATACACGAGCCTCTGTCTGCACAAACTCTGCACCTCCCCGAATGCTGATCCATAATGAAATAGCCTTTTGAGAGACTTTAAGGTCCAACAGCTAGCCAGAAGACACGCCTTCCACTCAGCATCCTCTGCTTTCTGCAGCAGCGCTGCAGCTGCATTTCCCCACTCGATGCAGGG